AAAAACCTCCAATGAAGAATACTCTACCCACCAAGTAGCATTCAGAATAGAAGGAGAGATAAAAAGTTTCCCAAGAAAAACAAAAGTTAAAGGAATTCATCACCACTAAACCAGCACTACAACAAACATTAAATGGAATGCTTTTTTTTTTTTTAATTTTTAAAAAGCAATGTCTACACCCAACATGGGGCTTGAACTCACTACCCCAAGATCAAGAGTTGCATGCTCTACTGAGCCAGCCAGGTGCCCCTAAATGGAATTCTTTCAGTGGAAAGAAAAGGCCATAATCAGGAGTAAAAAATTTCTTTCATCAGCGTTTTATAGTTTTCAGAGTACAGGTGTTTCATCTCTTTGGTTAGGTTTATTCTTAGGTATCTTATCATTTTTGGTGCAACTGTGAATGGGATTGTTTTCTTAATTTCACTTTCTGCTGCTTCCTTATCAGTGTATAGAAATACAACAGATTTCTGTAGATTTATTTGTATCCTGCAACTACTGAATTCATTTATCAGTTCAAGTAGTTTTGTTGGTGGAGTCTATGGGGTTATATATATATAGTGTCATGTCACCTGTAAATAGTGAAATTTTACGTCTTTCTCACCAATTTGATGCCTCTTATTTATTTTTCTTGGCTGACTTCTGTGGCTTGGACTTCCATTACTAAGTTGAATAAAAGTGGTGAGACTGGACATCCTTGTCTTGTTTTTGATCTCAGTTTTTTTACCATTGAGGGTGATGTTAGCCGTGGGATTTTAATATACGGCCTTATTATGTTGAGATTTTTTATCGTGAATGGATGTTATACTGTGTCAAATGCTTTTTCTGCATCTATTGAGTTGATCATATGGTTTTTATCCCTTCTCTTGTTAATGTGATATATCACATTTATTGATTTGTGACTATTGAACCAGCCTTATAGCCCTGGAATAAATCCCACTTGATCATGGCAAATGATTTTTTTAAATGTATTGTTGGATTCAGTCTACTAATATTTTGTTGAGGATTTTTGCATCTATGCTCATTAGAGATATTGACCTGTAGTTTTCTTTTTTTGTAGTATATTTATGTGGTTTGGGTAGCAGGGTGATGCTGGCCTTCTAGAATGAATTTGGAAGCTTTCCTTCCTCTTCTATTTTTTGAAACAGTTTGAGAAGAATTGGTATAAACTCTTATTTAAATATTTGGTAGAATTCACCTGTGAAGTCATCTGGTCCTGGACTTTTGTTTTTTGGGAGTTTTTTGATTACTAGTTCAATTTCATTACTAATAATTGGTCTGTTCCAATTTTCTATTTCCTCCTGATTCATTTTTGGAAGGTTATGTGTTTCTAGGAATTTATCCATTTCTTCTAGGTTGCCCAATTTTTGTGGCACATAATTTTTATATATTCTCTTATAATCCTTTGTATTTCTATGGTGTTGGTTGGTATTTCTTCTCCTTTATCTCTGATTGTATTTGAGTCCTCTCTCTCTCTCTCTCTCTCTTTTTTTTTTTTTTTGATGCATTTGGCTAAAGATTTATCAATTTTATTGATCTTTTAAAGAAGATGACACCAAAAAATGGAAAGACATTCCATGCTCATGGATTGGAAGAACAAATATTGTTAAAATGTCTATACTACCCGAAGCAATATACACATTTAATGCAATCCCTATAAAAATATCAACAGCATTTTTGAGGTACCTGGGTGGCTCAGTTGGTTAATTATGTAGGTTTATTTTTGTTTGCTTGTTTTTTTCTATTGTCTTTGGTTTTGGTACCAGGGTAATACTAGCTTCATAAAATAAATTGGTAAGGGTTACCAAAATGCCCCTCCATCTCTGATACTTTGCTTTGCTTTGAAATCTACTTTATTTGATATTAATATAGCCACTCATTCTTTCCCTTAATTAGTGTTTGCAGCATATATATTTCTCTATCCCTTTATTTTCAAACTGCTTATATTATTATAGTTGAAGTGAGTTTCTTATAGACAGAATAAGGTTGGATCGTATTCTTTTTTTTAAATTTTTTAAAGATTTATTTATTTATTTTGAGAGAGAGAGCATGTTCAGGCGGGGAGGGACAGAGGGAGAGTCTTAAGCAGACTCCATGCTGAGCATGGGGCATGACACAAGGCTCAATCTCAGGACACTGAGATCATGACCTGAGCTGAAATCAAGGGTCGGACACGTAAGCGACTGAGCCACCCAGGCCCCTCTATAGTTTTTTTTAAGCGTATCTGTTTGTATACCTTTTTAAGCTGTTTCTTTAGCTATTTCAATATATCCATATCATTTTTCAGTCTACTGGTGTCATCATTCATACCAGTCCTTTAATAATTATTTTAAATATTACTTCTACATATATTTAGAAGCACAATGTCATAATTTTTGCTTCAACCATTATTTCAGAAACTCAAGGGAAGGAAAGTCTATCATATTTACCCATATTTTTGCTTACCATGTTACTTTTTCCTTTCTGATGTTCCAGGTCCTTTTTTTATTTCTTCTTTTCCGTCTAGAAAACTTTCTTCAGCCATTCCTTTTCTAAGCCATTCCTCCTAGCAACAAATTTTTCTAGTTTTCCTTCATCTGAGAATGTCTTGATTTTCCCCTTAATTCTGACAGGCTATTTTCACCGGATTCTGATTTGACAGTTTTCTTTCAGCACTTGAAAAATGTGCCACTTTCTTCTGGCTTTCATGGTTTCTGATGAGAAATCTGGTGTCATTTGAATTGTTTCTCCTGCAGGTGAGGCGTCATTTCTCATGTGTTGCTCCCAAAAACTTTTGTTGTTAGTTTTTACAAGTTTGACTATAAAGTGTCTGGTGTGGACTTCTTTGGGCTTATCTGGGGTTCACTCAGCTCCTCCTCCTTCTAATGTTCACTACTACTAATTAGGCAACAACTGTATACCAGGCACTGTGCTGGGCATTTTATGTACACTATTGCTAATTCCACCACAAACCTGGGAGTTAGGTGTGTTAAGTTAAACCACATGCCAACTGTCATGGCTTTATGTAGCTTCTCGAATCTATAGGTTTACATCTTTTGCCAAATTTAGGACATGTAAGCCATTATTTCTTTGGGTACTTTTTCAGCCTGCCCTTTCTCCTCTCCTTTTTTTTTTTTTTTTCTTTTTCTCTCTTTATTTCTTCTCTCCTTCTGAGATTCTATTATAGCCCCATAGGTCCTTGAGGCTGTTAGTTTTTTTTTAGTCTGTTTTTTCTCTGCTAGATAGAACAATTTCTATTGTTCTTTCTTCCAGTTCACTGCTTCTTTCCTTTAACATAATCTAATTGTTTTGGCATCTACTCATGATCTTTTCTCATTTAGTTTGAGATCTTCCTGGATCTTGGAATTAAGAGATTTTCAATTAAAACCTGGACGTTCTTGAAATTATAAGTCTCTGGATCTTACTGAAATCTACTTTAACTAGCTTCACCTGAAACCACTCCAGCAGAAGGCAGCAAGGGTCATTGCCTTGATATTGCTAAATGGAGGTAGAAGTTCAGGTTCCCACTCAGCTACTGTTGTCACCCAAGGAACCTGAGTGGTGGTGGAAGTTCCAAGCCCCCAATAAGCCTCCACTGGTAATTCCCCAGCTCCTAGGAGTAGGAAAGCCTTATCACTGCCCACTATATGGTGTTCACTGATATAGCAGGGAAGGTTGGCATTTTTACCACTGGGTGGTGATAAAAGTCCTGACCTACCACTTGGACTCTGACACCACCCCAGCAGAGAGGGAGGCACCTTGGTAATGCCCGATGGGCAGTTTAAGTCCAGGTTCCCGCATGGTCTCTACTCTATGGGGAGTGGGGGAGAGACAGGGCCTATTACTTTTGGGTGGCACCCTACTCAGCCTTTTCTGACACTGCACTGGTAGTTGTGGTAGGGGACAGTGTTAGGGTGCCCTGCTACAGCCTGGTGAGGGTGGAAGTCTAGGCTCCCCTCTTGACCTTTCCTGGCATGGGTATAGAGGTGTGGGGGAGGTCCATAATTTTTCTTTGTGCTGTTTGGCTGGAGAACACTTATTCTCTGAAAGTTTTGTCTTGCTAGATTGTCCATTTCCTAGTCCTTTTACTACAAAGTAGGTTTTCCTTGTTTTGCTTGTCTGTTCTCATTGGTGCTTTCAGATTGCTGGCTTCCTCAGGTACAAGTCTGAGATGTAGGAGGCAAGAGAAAACCCAGGGAATTCAGTACCATGTTGTGTCTTATCTCTGTCTAGTCTGGTTTCTCTCTCCCTCTCAGAGTCGTTTTATATATAATGTTCAGGGATTTTAGTTGTACTTAACAGAAGGAATAAGGAAGAGTATGTCTACTCCATCTTTCCAGAAGTCAGTCTCCATATATACTTATTTTATACTGTTACTGATCATTTCAGTATCTCAAAACCTTGGGGATCTAGGTGTTTTTCCTGTTCTCACTTATGATGCATCATTTTCCTTATTATCTTTTAAATTTTCAGGTGGACATTCTGAGGACCTAAATTAGAATTGCTTTCTCCAGAGAGGATTTGCATCTCCGCTGGAAGCTACTAGAGACCATTTTAGTTCTCTTCAAGGGTCCCAGTTTCATACAGAATTTTCAAGTTGTTTTCCTGTCTTGCAGAGGGATTGCTCAAGGGTTAGCAGTCAAATTCCAGGGCTATTATTGGCATTTGTACCCAAAGATGTCAGCGTCACTTGTTTACCAGTGCTGGAAAAGTGTCTTTTTCTTTTTGTGGGACAGGGATTGGTATATCTTGAAGACTTCCCTTATTTTCTTGCAAGCTCAGAAATGCTCTTCATAAAACTGTTTGTTATAGTTTATCCAGTTGGTTGTATTGTGGTTAGAGGGCCAAAATCACTAGTAGAAATGCAAATTCCTTACATATGATATTTGGTATTACTACCTTGAAAATGACTGGAGAAACAGTACTCCTCATGATTACCAGATTTTCGTTAACAGGCCAGACATGAAGGTTTTATTGTTAATGGTTTAAATTCCTTAATGAAATTTGTCATTTTAGGTGGGTGAGATAGATTACGAGAATAATATTCTATTTTTACAACAAAGCTCAGCCTTGCTCACTATATTACCATAACTGAGTTCTAGGTACTGACAAACTTGGTCTTCTTGGGAGGAGTTACGAACTGGAGGAAACTAGAATATTAGAGGTGTAACAGCTATAAAACATGATCTAACCTGAAGTCTATGGTTCAGTCCCACTTCATCAGCTGTAGCTGAAAAGTTCTTTGGTTATTTTTTCCAAGAGAACCAAATCTTTATGTTCCTGCAGCTAGCTCATTTCATTCCAATAACCTGTTTCAAAAGTCTAGCTCACTGCATTCCAGAGACCTGGTTTTTTGATAACCAGTGCTGTTTTATTCATGACTCTTCTTTCTTCCATTTGTTCAGTAAATAAATTTAAGAAGCCAAGAGTCAAACTGGAGCTTTCAAAAAACGTTTTCCCCTCATAATCTTAACTCTTCTACTTTAAAATCCTGTTCCAAGGATGGCTCTGTATAAACTTAATTCTTCAATAAGAACATTAGTGATTTCTAATACTTATTACGTGCCAGGCTCGGTTCTAAGCTTATTACATATACTTACTCCTCAAAATAATCCTAGGACATAGGTGTTTCAACTGCTCTCACTCTATAGATGAGTAAACTGAGGCAAAGAGTCAGATAACCCAAAGTCTCCCAGCTAGAATGTGGTAGAACTGACAACTGATCCGAGGCTGTCCGGTTCCAGAGTCTGTGCAATAATCCTCTAGTATGGACTGTGTACAGCCAACATCAGACCCAGTATGGGTGAGGATATGAGTCTCTAACAAAGTGAAATAGTACTTCAGTAGGGAAGACAGGTTAAACCACAAATACATTTATTTCTCTAAGAACAGTATGCCATTTTTAAATTAAAAAAAAAATATATCAACTGTCTCTGCAGTTTGCTTGCTCTTATTAAGCTGATTAAAAAAAATCCCAGAGCAGAGTGATTCACCAGCACGATCGTTAAGTTGCAAATCTCTCCTCTGTCACAGAGCAAGAATACACTCAACTCCAGAAAATAACTTTAAGTGTTCATGGAAAGAGTACCCACATCCATTTGTCATGCATTCCAGTGCATCATGGCCTCCTTTTCAATGATCTAATTTTTTTTAAAGGTTTTATTTATTTATTTGACACAGAGAGAGAGAGAGCACACGCAGGTGGAGCAGCAGGCAGAGGGAGAAGCAGAATCCCCGCTGAGCAGGGAGCCTGATGCAGGGCTCCATCCCAGGACCCTGGGATCATGACCTGAGCCGAAGGCAGACGCTTAACTGACTGAGCCACCCAGGCACCCCTCAAAATCTAATTTCTAACCTAGTTTCTTTTTTGAGTCTGAAAACAAGGAATTACCTAAGTAAGATATCCCTTCAGAGCACTGTTGAAAATATATTAAACATACAGATACCTCAGATCTCTTTTCCAAATGTTAAAAATATATTAGCACATACAGAAAATATCTGTATTTTCTATTATAATTTAGATTTCTATCTAAAATATCTATTATGTTCTAATGAACTTTTGTTTCTCCCTTTTTGATAATGTCTTCAATTTCTTCTGAGACTTCTCCTTGGTAGTCATTTGGTTCTACTGCATTTAACTTCTTTTGATACTCCAGTGGCAAATCATTTTCTTTTGCACCTAGGCAAATGACCTAGAAATGGTTAAAAGAAACCAAAAGCACCTTTTAATTAGGAACACAATTTAATATACCACAGCTTTATGATAACTTCTAGATAACTCTAGAATAAACAGTTATAGAACAAAATAGAATCATTCCTCTTATAGTGAGCATGAATGTGCAGGGAGTTTTCGAGGCCACAGGATACATTCTCATGGAGGATCAATTTCACTCAATAATATGGTTTAAAATATTTTTAAACACTAAAGTATAATTAATATACAGTGTTATATTAGTTTCAGGTGTACAATATAATGATTTAACAATTCTTTATATCACTCAGTGCTCATCATGGTAAGTGTGCTCCTAATCCCCTTCACCTAGTTCACCCATCCCCCACCCACCTCCCCTCTGGCAGCCACCAGTTTGTTCTCTGTAGATAAAGAGTCTGGGTGTTTTTTTGTCTATTCATTTGTTTGTTCACAGATTCCACGTATAAATGAAATCATATGGTATTTGTCTTTCTGTCTAACTTATCTCACTTACCATGATACCTTCTAGGTCCATCCGTGTTGCTGTAAATAGCAAGATCTCATTCTTTTTTATGGCTGAATAATATTCCATTGTATGTATGTGTATATATACACACACACACACGCCATGTCTTATTTAGCCATAACTATGGATGGACACTTGGGTTGCTTCCATATCTTGACTATTGTAAATAATGCTACAGTAAAATAGGGGTGCATATATTTTTTCAAACGAATGTTTTCATTTTCTTTGGGTAAATAGCCAGTAGTGGAATTACCGGGTCATATGGTAATTCTATCTTTAATTTTTTGAGGATCCTCCATACTGTTTTCCACAGTGGCTGGACCAGCTTGCATTCCCACCAGCATCGCATCAGGGTTCCTTTTTCTCCACATCCTTGCTAACATTTGTTATTTCTTGTGTTTTTGATCCTAGTCATTCTAATTTAAAATATTTTTATATTAAGACAAAAACTTATTGTATAGAACTGGCATGATCTATTAAGAAAAAACACCATTCTTTAAAAAAAATGTAAAGTTTATAGGGAGCAGTTTTAGTTTAATCTGGGAGTCTACTCTACCTCTGATATGAAATGAGCTAATAGATGGTAACTATGTTCAGTGGTACTTCCCAGATCCATACCAGGCTAATTCCTCTAGGTTCCATACTAGAAAATTCCAGATTAGGCCCAGGAACTGGGTCATCCACTCCACGTGCTATGTCCTGATTGGGCCTTCCAATAGTACCTAAGTTTGGGTTTCTAAAAAGGGATGTTGGGGTTGCTATCCCACATTCTTTTCCTATGCTTGTGGGAGTAGTTTCTCTGATTTTGAAAGAGTGTGACTTGGGGTGCCTGGGTGGCTCAGTCGTTAAGCATCTGCCTTCGGCTCAGGTCATGATCCCAGGGTCCTGGGATTGAGCCCCACATCGGGTTCCCTGCTCAGCGGGAAGCCTGCTTCTCCCTCTCCCACTCCCCCTGCTTGTGTTCCCTCTCTCGCTGTCTCGCTCTCTCTGTCAAATAAATAAAATCTTAAAAAAAAAAAGAAAGAAAGAGTGCGACTTTTTTCCCTCCATCTAGGGATGGAAAACATTTCAGCAATAGGAAATGTGTTTTTTCCCCATAAAAATGAATCTTGGTGTTATGAAATACTGTTTTGTGGAGAAAAAATGATTACAAAAGCCTATGCATAGAATAAATCCACTAAAAATACATGCATATGTGTTATTTTCTACTTTAGGAAAGAAAACACATATCTAGAATTATGGCTCATATAGATTTCCACAGTCTTTTTTAATAAATCTGTTTTAGGAACATAGTTCTATTTTTACAAATAAATCTGAATATTTTTCAATTTGCATGTTAGGTAAATAACTATCATTTTTGTATTAAAAACATTTTTATTAAAATGAAGTGTTCATAGGGGTAGGGCAGGCAAAAAAAAAAAATGTTTGTGTAGAATTTAATGCACACATAGCCTTTTTAAAACAAGATATTTTTTAGTTTAGCTCAGTGAAAATTAAAAAGGAATTGCCAACAGTCTTTGTAAGTAGCTTACCTTTTTATACTGGAGGGATGGCAGAGCACTCTCATAATTTTTCATCTGATAACTTCGACAGGTTATTTCTTTTCCTTCTTGAGTATAAACATTAACTTCTATTGGGACATATGTTCCACTTTTAACCCCTTCTTGCCTGAAACCAGAACAGCCAAATTTTAACCATATATGATTTAGCCAAGTTAGTTTACTGGATTAAAAATTTAACTATATATGGATGTACTTGCTCCCTTTGTATTTTGGGATATGGTAGAACATATTATAAATACTACCACATCAAAAGTAAACCTAGCATTTCATTTGGAAAGCCTCAGATTTAGCATTACTTAGTATACTTCTAACAGATCTCTATATTTATCCTATATAAACCCATGCTTGAATATAGTTATTTCAATCTTTATACCCCTCAACACTGCTCTCTAGGCTACAAAAAATGACTATGTGTTCTGACAAGAGAATATCCACCCAGAGAAAAGTAGAGAGAATGGCTCACTCTTATTCACCAGTGACATAAAGTATCATGCATATCAGATAATGCGTTCTTTTCAAGTTCTACTCTTTTCTGCCAACTTTCTTTGTATACATGCTCTACCACACAACCGGAGAGTTCTAGTTATAAACAGTATCAAAACATTTCTAGTATGTTGTCAAAGTTTTTACAAATTATTACTTTTTTACTGATTCAACTGCCACCTTAAAGAATTATTTTTTAAAAACTGACTCTAGTAAAAACTGAACTGCTTTTGAAACCAATAAAAAGATGCAACAATTACAAACATCTTCATGCCTTTTCACAATATGAAACTACAAAGAGATTTTTTTTAATAAAAGATAAACAGAACAAAAATAAAGACTTCCATTTTTTTTACAGAAGAGATTATAAATATCCCCCAAATCTCAACTGGAATAAGTGACCCTTCTAGGCTTTTTTTTTTTTTTTTTTTAATGTAGGCTCTATGCCCAATGTGGCGCTTGAACTCACAACCCTGAGATCAAGAGTTGCATGCTCTACAGACTGAGCCAGTCAGGCACCCCTAGGCTTTTTAGGATATGCACATTATACTTTTTATGTTAACTCTACAGTGTAAAGAATGTAGTATATGGTTTTGAAAAACCAACATATATATATACACATCTTTGCATATGATCCACTTTCTGAATTAGTTATTATTTAACTTATAATTAGAAGCCACCTACTTATCCAGAGAACTCAAATTGCTTTTGTTCATTTTCCATACTACTCCCCATACTTCATCGCCAGGACTTTGAAAAATGGTGGCTATACCTCCATGCCAAGTTTCACTTGTTTTGCCTTGGGAATTGCCAAAGTCAAGCTTATAATCCTACAAAGGAAGCCAAAATGATTTGATCAATATCCACTTGAACCAAAATTTCCCTCTTCAATATAAAAAAAAAATTTACCTTAAACTCCATGCAATTAAAACATAAACTTTGAGTTCTTTCTCTGCATAAGAAGCTGTAAAAAATACAAAGATAAACAAGGACCCGGATCTCAAGGACTATATTTTTTCATATTTTTCTTTAAAAATGAAATGTATACTGAATATACATATGTATATATATTTTGCCATAAATTGGTTAAAAAAAACCCCATAATCCCAATGCCTTAATGTAACTATTTTCATTTTTAAAAATTACTTCCCAGTCTACCTACATACACGTAGATTTTAACTTAGAGGCAACCATAGTATACATAATTGTTGAAGCTGGGTAGCTACATAGGGGTTATAACCTACTTTTATGTACACAGAGAGTATCCTACTAGCATGTATCACCATGTTTGCCCTCAAGGAGCCAGCATTTGAGGGTGATTTGTATACTTCCTAACATTAATCTAGCATTCATGAATTGTACTATTATATCTATAATAAACATTAAGAGCAGCTAACACTAGTACATTACTAGGTTCTATAACTGCATTATGAGCTTTATGTGGACTCATTTTTATCCTGCCAACAACTTTATTGTACCCATTTAACAAAAAGAAAAACTGGCTTATAAAGATTAAGCAACTTGCCCAAGGTCTCACAACTAATAAGTAACGGAGCCAGGTTTCTAGTTCATTTTTATTTTTATTTTTTAAAGATTTTATTTATTTATTTGACACACAGAGAGATAGAGAACACAAGCAGGGGGAGCGGCAGGCAGAGGGAGAAGCAGGCTCCCCGCCAAGCAGGGAGCCCGATGTGGGACTCAATCCCAGCGCCCTGGAGTCATGACCTGAGCCGAAGGCAGACGCTTAACCGACTGAGCCACCCAGGCGTCCTGCCAGGTTTCTAGTTTAGCTTCTTCCCTATAGAGATGGGTAATCAGAGGAGAAAATCCTGGGGAAGATTACAAACCCTTACTTGGCCATTTGGTGTAGAAAATTTCTATCCATCTTTCCAGAGCTTAGTTTCCTTAATAATAAAAAAAGGTTGGACTAGATACTAAATTTAAGGTTTATATTTTATCCCTGTCACCTTTATTTTCTTAAGAATGTTAGACATTTCAGGAAAAAGGTTGGTTTGAGTGACCAGTATCTTCAATTGGTATACTGGATGTTTTAGGGCCAAGCAGCCCTGGCAGGACATCAGGAGAGCTGATAAAAAGTCACAACCACATTAGGTACTGGTTGTCTGCTGCTAAATCCAATAGACAATTTTCATTCCTCCTCTTGCTCCACTTTTCAGCTGCTTCCGACAGAGTTAACCAGCCTGTCTTGATCTGCCTCCTTCCTGACTTTCAGACTGTTCCCTGATCTCAATTCCCTTTGCTAACTCCTCCTCCATACCTGGTCTTCAAATGGTAGAGTTGCTAAGGGCTCAGTTTAGGCCCCTTTTCTTGTTCACCAGCAATTTGCTCAAGACAATCTATCCCTTCCAATAACTTCAAATACCATCCGATATTCCAATCATCTTTTAATCCAACCCAGATCTCTCTTCTAAACTTCAAAAATGCTTAGAACAGGGTCTACCACACAGTGAGTCCTTAATAAATGCTCACTAATATTTTTCTGCTCACTTGGATGTATAACAAACATCTCAAACTCAGTATATTTAAGCTGAGCTTGACTTTCCCTCCAAAACGGATTCTCCTCTTTACAAATATCACCATCATCCACCCTATTGCACCAAAAATCTTAGTCACCCCTGTTATCTCTTCCTCCCTTCACAATCAATCACCAAGGCCTAACATTGTTATCCCCTAAGTATCTCCCCAACCCATCTACCCGCCACTGCTACCACTTGAGTTCAAGGTGCCATTATCTTTAGCATGGATTGCTACAAAAGCTTTCTAACTGGGCTCCCCACATCAACTGTTGTCTCTCCTTCCAATCTATTTTCCATAGCAACCAGAATGAGCTTTCAAAGTTGTAAATCTAATCTTTCATTTGCTTAAATTCTGCAATGGATCTTTTCATTGCTCTCAAGATAAAGACCAAAGTCCTCTTTGGCCTCTGTGATCCTGTAACATGTGGTCCTTCTACCTCTCTAGTTGTCAAGCAATGTCCTCCTCACACACTAAACTCCAGCCACAGCAGCTGGATGATCCAGCTTCTTGTTTCCTGAGGTCATTTGTACATGCTGTTCCTTCTCTTTTCTTTGTCTCCCCCTGCCCAATCATTCAGGTCTCAGCTTAAAAGTCATATTTTCAGGAAAAGCTTTACTAAGCTTAGGTCAGGACCTCCAAGTCATACACTTGCATAGCACCTTGTAGATCTCTCTCTCTCTCTTTTTTAAAGCCTTCACTTTTTTTTAGAGCAGTTTTAGGTTCACAGCAAAACTGAGAGGAAGGTACATGTCTCCTTTTTAAACTCACCATATGTGTAACTGAATAATCACTTGTTTGATAACTCTTCCACTTGTCCCAACTATAAGCATCTGAACTTCTTTTCCACATTTGGGCAGTTCCCTACCTTAGGAGTCTGGTGGGTAGAAAGTGTTAGAGCCCAACTCCCATTTTTGAGGCTTCAAATGCCAGCAGTTGGTTCTTGCAGCTTTGCTTGCAGTCAGGGCATGGATGGGCATGTGGCCATGGGTTAGCCAATCAGGACACCCACCTGAGACTTTGAATTAGAAGCTAGTGCTAGTGCCCAAGGACAGCAGAAACTATATCCTGGAGGTGGTGGCCACATCTAGGTTTCAGGAACTGCAGTAGTGACAGTAGCAGGCAAGGTCCGAAGCAGACAGGGTCAGTGATGCACAACTTAGTGTCCATGTTTACGAAGTTCAGCAGAGGCGCGCCAGTGGCCTCCGGGGCTGTTGTGGTTGCTGTACCTCCCTCTATGCCTGCCTGTTTTTTGTTTTGTTTTTAAAGTAGGTTCCACATCCAAAGTGGGGTTGAACTCACAACCCTGAGATCAAGAATCCCATGCTCCACCCACCGACTCACACAGGCGCCCCTATGCCTCCCTGTTTTATCAGCTCTGTGGTCCTACCTTCCTGGTCATTCTGTGAGGCCTCCAACAGCCTTTCAACACATTCTTTTTCTGCTTAAATCAGCCACTTTCTGTTGCTTGCCACTAAGAACCTGACAAGGACAGCAGAGACCATGTTTGTCTAATTCGACAATGTCAAAAGGTTTCGTACATAATTTTTTGGTGTGTCCCTCCTATAGACATGGACGGGTCCTCAAGGCAGCCCACTTTATCACTTTTGTATCTGCAGGGAAAAAAATCTACCAAAGGAATGAACGGATTGTACTGAAGAGCAATTATTTTTAAGTTTTTATTTATTTAAGTAATCTCTACGCCCAACGTGGGGCTCGAACTCAGACCCTGAGACCAAGAGTCACATGCTCCTCCGACTGAGCCAGCCAGGCGCCCCTGAAGAGCAATGACTTTTACCAACGTGTGTTATGGTTCACCCAGCCACCTGACTGAACTGAGCACGGCCCTTACTATGACTACGACACGGTGCCAGCTTTCAGGACCTCTCCCATCGGGAGCGGAAGACAGGTGAACGGAGTTTTACAATACCAGCTGACAAGCCCTGCAGCGAAGGTGTGTGGTAGGGAAGAGAAAGCCACGCGTTCCCTGACTTGGGACAGAGAAGGCGTCTGGGAGGCACGGAGCGAATGGATGCTGTGAGCGCTCCCCTAAGTCGGTGGGCAAGACCGAGGCGGCCAGGTCTGGGCAGAAGGAGCCTCCCGGGGAAAGTCAGCAGGGGGGCTCAGGGCGGCCCGGGGGCGCACAGCTGCCAGGCGGGCACAGCGCTGTGGGGGCGAGGCGGGCTCGCCCAGGAGGGCAGAAGCCAGACGGTGAAGACAGCCCCGACGTGCTCTTATCAGCAAGAGCTGCATTCCCGGCCCCGAGAAAGCGACTTCTCGAAATCCTGCCCTCTCGTCCGCAGGGTGGGCACGGCACTGCAGGGGCCGCGCGCCGGCAGCACTGACCTGCAGGCGGGCCACGCAGCAGAACACGGCCGACCGGTTTCGGAGGTGGATCCGCTCGGTCAGCAGATTGCTACCGTAGGCGAAGTACAGAAAACTCTCCCCCTCCTGGCCCTGGACGTCCTCACAGCCCGAATTCGCCATGTTCCACCAGACACCCGCGCGGCCCCGGGGTCGGCGATACGACTGGGAGAAGAGGACTGCGGGCGTCCCAACTCCGGTGGCTCACGAGCCGGGGCCTCTGGAGTTAGCGGAAAGGCGGGAAGCGTGGGCCGGGCGAATCGGATGCGACCGCTCTTCTGACTGGCTGCGCGCCCAAATGTTGAGTCTCCCCCTATGATTGGCCAAGCCCGCCACCTCCTCTTCGCTCTCCAGTTAGGACCCTGAAATGCTCAGCTCTGAGGCGACCGCGAGCCGATTCCTCATTGGACATACTCCTCTGTTGTCCCGCCCCGATGCTCCAGGCTCCGTACGATTGGTGGGTGGGCGGGCGCTACGCGGAGGCGGGTCAGGTCCGGTGGGTTCGGTTTGGGGGATGCGCCGCGTGGTTCCTAACCAGGTTTTCTCACCTTAAGGTGGTGCCTGTGTGGTTCCAGGTGTTTCGTGCTCTTTAGGGAGCTCGCCCCCCGCCCTGCCCTCCCGGTTCGAAGCAGTCGGTCACGACGGGTCAATTTCCCCCTCATGCTGGTTCTCGCATCCCCAGCCCTGATCACTTAACGTGGAGAAGACCCTCTGAATGTCTGGGACTCCCTTCCCGGATGGAAGTAGCGTGCCGGGTTCAAATCCCAACGCTGCCATTTACTGGCCACGTAAGCCTGGGCACCTCTCATATCGGTTTCCTCCTTGTAAAATAGCGATTTTAACATGAATTATGATCACAGTTATATAACTTATAATCCCCTATCTCATAGGGTTGGTTTAAGTATTTAAAGAATAATTTTGTTAATGT